TCTGCCATTCCTCCCTACCAGTTGATTGGCATATGGAATAAATGCAGCATTGTGCTGAAGAATTAGCTTATCATTCCATGGCATATTTGAAAGGATGAGTTGCATTTGGTAGATTTTTTCCCCAGCCTTCCTGTCAAAACCTATCAATGTGTTTACATAAAAATGAACTGGTGCCTGCTGTTAATCATGAACACTTTGGCAATGAAATTCACTCTTGGTCTCCCTCCAAACGCAAAGCCAAAATGTACCAGAATAAGCTTAATGACAAATGGACAATATATAGCCTGCTCCAGTTTCTATGTATCTTCTTCTTCTTGCTTTCCAGCCCATAACACATGAGTAATATATAGCCTGTCCACTGAGAAAATGGAGCACTTGTGCTCAGTGGAAGGCTCTTACAGAGAACATAGGAACTGCCTTATACAAATCAGACCAGTATTCTGTCTAGATTAGTTTTGCATATTCTCTCCAGCATTTCAAGCAAGAATATTTTTCAGCTCTACCTTCAGATGCTGGGACTGAGACGTTTCTGCATGCAATTCATGCACTCTACCACTGAGCTATGGCCTGTTCTCAGAAGGTGTTGTGGCCATCATCCATGCTGTGAAACACAGCATGTATGACACACTTTTTAGAGTATTATAATGTTGCTATGCTATGTTTGCCAATGTGCATGATGTCTAAAAGAGCCACTAACCCCACGGCCACAACAGACAAGGTTCACTCAGTTCTGGGAAGCAGCCTGCTAGGAAAAGTTGCCCATCCTTGCACCAAAACCTAAGGGCCACATTGTTTAATTTCAGTTTCAATAATTTCCATCCTATACCCAGATGTACCTCGAAGTGGTTCACGATAAACAACTGCAAACCATGAAATATGAAGTTGCAAATATAAACAAGCAGTTAAGATAACGCTCACTGGAATGAACGTTACCTATGCATGCAAGCAACAAATAAAGGATAATATGGAGGGAGGAACCAGGTATGCCATATTGATGTCCTAGGAGGAAAATGTGGCATAATAATGAATTGGGTTCAGAATGACTGCATGGAAACAAAGTATATTATAATGTTGGGATACATTAACCATTTAAAAAAAAAAAAAGGATTGCTGGACAAAAGCAATTCCTGAACGATTGTTCTCAACATACTGAGAACAATAATTTCAACAATAAAAGTTGGCATTGGCCGAAACACCTTTCAAGTAATCGATACACTTCATATACATTATTTTAATTAACATGTGAAAACATTTAGGGGCTGAAGTAAAAGCTTGCCCCTTTTCAACCTCTGCAATGTCAGTAGACAAGGCTTCTGCTTCTCGTGAATTTTTTGTTTTCACTTGAAGGATGCTCTCTCACAAAAGGGGAATGCACCGACACATGCACAAAACCAGGAATTTCAACTCATCGGTATTCAAGTGTATCTTTAGCAATGAACACCACTCATAGCTAATGTGAAATCGGGGCCTATCTAAATAACAGTCAAGGGCTTAACAAACACCAAGTAATTAATGCTGTTACGTTCACTATACTGTGAAGTGTTACATAACCCCAAGTGGCATTATATTAATACAGAACACATTAGTGAAGGGCACACACACACACACACACACACACAAGCAGGAAGGAAGGTTTTCAGATCAATTTCCTATAGTTTACTTCCTTCCTAAAGCCAAATCTTTACACTTGAAGTTCCAATTAGAGCAGGCACCCCCAAACTCGGTCCTCCAGACCACAATTCCCATCATCCCTGACCACTGGTCCTGTTAGCTAGGGATGACGGAAGTTGTAGTCCCAAAACATCTGGAGGGCCAAGTTTGGGGGTGCCTGAATTAGAACAATTGAGCCACTTTCCTATCCCTACCAAATTGTTTTATGCTGGAGAGAACTGTCTTTCACACCTTACTTTAATAATAAAAAGTACATTTGCATAGCGCTTTAAGGTATTCACAGCATTTCACATACATTCTTCCACAAGCAGTAACATTTGTCCCTTTTACAATACAATGCTATTACGCATGTCGACCCAGAAGCAATCTCCATTGAGTTCAATGGGCCTTACTCCTGCATGAATGTGTATACAATGTGGGGCTGCAGAGTGAGAGGAATTGCTGGCAAATGCTTCCCACCCTATTCCCCTAACAGAAACCTTGCCATTAGCTGAGCAACATCTATGGATGCAACCCAGTGCTGACATTTTTAAGTTAATGGGATTATTATTATTATTATTTTAACTTGGCTGCATTCAGCAATTCCTGTTCTCAATAAATGCTGCGGAAAGATTGCCAACTCGCACATCTTATGGCGTGGGCCATGTATCTGCATGCAAAGAAGCTTTGTCAAGCTCCGAGCCAAAGCTTGCCACTTCATGACTATTGCAGGGTGGGAAAGGAGATGTCTCATCGTTAAGCAATTTTCTGCTTTTAAAAACGTGCATTTTAAAGGAATGTAGGCTTATTATTTGCAAGGCCATGCATAGAGAAAAAGAACTGGTAAAATGTCAACTTTGTTCATCGGCACTGACATTCAAATTATTTCTGGGGGTTTGTAGATACTACCCTGTCCTTCAGTATTGATCAAATTATTTCACATCTCAATGCAATATGGTATTTCATGGCATGCTGTAGGGGAGTACTTTTAACTCTCGAATCTCTTGTGTTGCATTTTCTCTAGGTTTGGACTTCAGCAGTTCATCTGCGGTCCCTGCAGCAATATGTGCCCAGACATGTGCAGATCCAACCCTGTTACCTGCCGTAACAGGGGGAGGGAAGAACCAGATTTTTGGCACATTTTGCCTTTTGGTTGCCCAAATATTCTCTATCTCTCTCACACATATGCACAACCAAATCATCTTAAAGAAAATGTCACCAAATGTCTATCTCCCTTCTATTTGGTCTAGAGTGAAATTACTCCTTAGCCAACAGGTTGCAGGCAGAAGCACATTAAATGCCTGAATGACTCTGGTATAGAATTCAGCCACCGCTTTTTCATTTCCTGGTCCATTCCCATGGCTCTTGCAGAAGCTGTGATACATAGAAAATAAAACCAGGCATGGCATATAACATGTGTGTCTTGGACTCTGCAGTAGGGCTGGGCAATGTATTGATACATTGTCCAAAATCAGTTTGAAGTCCACATCGTGATAATGGTTTCATAATATTTGGCATGGCGATATATCGCGAAGCACAATGTGTATGTGCTTGGTAAAAAAAATCACAATATGGGGAAAACTCTGAAGACAGTCATTACTTCTCTCATGATTCCTGCTGCTCCTGTTGCTCTGTACTATAAATTAACAGTTGTGACAATATGTAACAGTAAAATGTATGTACAATATGTAACAACAGTTGTGACAATATGTAACAGTAAAAATGAATCCGTTTTAGACCCCTAAGTAGTAGCAGTTGCCAGGATATTATGCTGTTCACCTCTACACAGTTACATCCCATGATACAGACATTGTGATATACCACTATATTGACATGTTTATCTGGTGATATATCACAATGTTGAAAACCAGATGTCGCCCAGCCCTACTCTGGAATCTGAGCCACTACTTGAGTACAAACTGTAGCTGAGAAGCTGCTTTCAGATATCAAACAAGTTTTCAATATGCACATTTGCACAGATCATCACCACCCAAGTATACTCTCACTCTTCAAATCTTCATTTCTTCCCTCCTCCGCAACTTCAGTGACACTCTTTGTTTCTTAAAGCCTTGTATCCCATAGGCTAAATCAGTGGGAAACTGATTTAAAGGCACCATTCAAACAAGGATATGGAACCAGAGTATGATTCTGGTCTGTGGCTCTAGTTTGGATGGAGCCTTTAAATCACAGTTTCTCAGTATGAACTTCTGTGGTTTAAGACACTGCATGAGCTGCCCTGGATCATGGAACAAAGAGTGATGGGCAAGGAGGGTGACCATTCATTGACCATACATTCCCAGGTCAATAAGCCATGCTTTATCAGACTAGGACTGCGACATTGAAACCAGGCACCTGTATGTAATTTTCACTATGGGCATTTCTATTTAAGGATAATCTAAGGATAAAAACAAATCAAAATCACCTGGACATCTGTCCACTCTTTCCTTTCAGTGCACTCCATGAAGTACAGATTAAGGCACTCAGCAGTTATCCATTTAACCTTGCAAGCTTTAGCATTACAAATACCATTATTGCCAATGCATTTAGCTTCCATTTGAGAATATTTATCCCTAAAGCTAAGTACTAAAGTCTCAGATATGCAAATGCTTCCATTAATTCTTGTCTTTTAAAAGTGAGCAAGTGGAATCAGAACTGGGGAAACAGCTCATCACTTATAATTTATAACATAATTCTGAGTGCAGAATCAACCTTCACTGGCCATGTGCCACACTTAAAAAAAAAATCAAAATGTAATTTCTTAGTAGCTACATGCACATTAATATTTTCCCCCTTCTTCATGAATTTGCTCTTCATTAGCACCATTAAGCATTATTTAATGCCTTGAACTTGCTTGGGCAAAAGGGTACAACTCCGTGTTTGCTTCAGTTCTGTGAGAAGAGAGTGAAGAAGAGGAAGCAAAGTTAAATCAGATCAAGCACAAAATGCATGTGCAAATAATGGATGTTTGCATAAGGAAAGTGACACCAGAATTTGATTTGCCAATTTATAAAACACCATTAAGAAGCAGAAAGCACTACGCGCTCCATTATTACATCTGATTAGAGTCGCAGTTTGCGACGTGGTAATTTTTACAGCTCAGAGCTAAATATTTAAGAGCCATGTTATCAGACATTTTACAGACAGATCCAATGCTCATGAACTATCCCAGAAGAGCCTGCGGTCTTGAGCCACTGCCCCATCTAGTCCAGCATCCTGTTCTCACAGTGGCCAATTGCCTGTGGGAAAGCCAAAGGCAGGATCTGAGCACAAGAGCATATTCCCCTCTGTGGTTTCCAGAGAAGGGACCGCGAGGGTCATCTAGTCCAACCCTGTGCAATGCACAAATCTTTCGCCTAACGTGGGGTTCGAACCCACGAACCTGAGATTAAGAGTCTCATGCTCTGGGGACTGAGCTATGCCTCAAGCAACTAACTATACAATCACATTTATAGCCATCTCCCCTACCCCCCCCAAAAAATTAATCCCCTCTTCAAGCAAAAAGAGGCTTCGAAATATCAATAATTCATATATGTATATATACACCAGGAACTAAGCGGAATTATTTCACACAATCCTGTCCCACCAGCACAACGTATATTTTGGAAATGCATTCCGCTCTGCCGTCTGCACTCTCTGAAACCCTTTGAACAAAAATTCTCTCTGATCCCTGGGAGTTCAAAGTATACCTAGTTCCTTAATGACTTTGCACAGCACTGCCACAGCTGTTCCTTTGCTTCAGACGCACAAAGAACAGGTTAAAGGTGGCTTTGGAAAGTGTTTCCCTTAAAGTAAGTTGCCCATAGCTGCCGCTAACTGATAAGCTGCTCTTAAAATAAGCACTTGACGAACCTTAGGTCACCGGCACTAGTGACCCAATACGTCTCTTCCTTTTTATTTTGTTGATAAACAACTTTATCCTCAGTAGTTAAAACTTCCCTTTTCTACATCTTGGTATATGAAGTTGCTGCACTTTAAATCAAATTTGTATTTCAAGTCTCTTGTCTCTGCAGATAGTTTTATTATCGTTATCATCATCATCACCGTTAAAAATGCTTCTATCAAAACAGTACGTCAAGTGCACAGAGAGAAAACAGGGAAAGCTAATAAGGACCTTTTTTGCAGGTAACAGTGCAAATAACACTGAAATTAAAATGAAGGGGAAATGGTAGGTTGCATTACATATTTGGCAAACGGTTATCCAATGAGTCAAGGCGAAACCGTGGCCTTCCAGATGTGGTTGGACTCTGCCTCCCATCAGTCCCAGAATGATGTGAGGGTTGTAGACCAACAACATCTGGAAGGCCACAGATTCCCCATCCTGCACCAGGCATTCAGAAAAAATGCAGCTCTTCTGCCAGCTGTCCACCTTCATTGCTTAGGAAAGGAGCTGAGTCAGGTTTGTTTTGGCAGAGCCAGTCTGGTTTAGTGGTTAGAGCATTGGGCCCTTAGGATTCCTGCTCAGCCATGAAGCTCACTGGGTGATCTTGCTCCAATCGCTGCCCCTCAGCCTCTCCTACTTCATAGGGTTGTTGGGGGGTGGGAATGAGGAGTGAGGGAACCACAGATGCCATCTTGACCTCCTTGGCTCCTTGGAGGAAAGATAGGGTGTACATACCGGTAATACAATTAAGTAAAACAAATTAAATGTAGGTGGCAGCCAACATGGTAACCTCCAAGTGGATTTTGGACTTCATCTCCCAGCCTCTGTGACCATTAGCCAAACTGGTCAAGGCTGCTGAGAGCTGAAGTCCAACAACATATGCAGAGCACCATGTGGACTACCCCAGCTTCCTCTTAATATTTAGGAACTTGTCACATACAGAACCTGCAATTCTTGTCCATTTAACTTCTCTCCCCGCCACCGCCGTCCCCCAACACACTTCTGATAACTATTATCAGAGGCTGGGGACAATTACAGTGGCAGCCTCAAACGACACTTGCAAGATATATTGCTTCCCAATCAGGATGTTGCTTCTAATTTGTAATTACGATTTTTCAAAGGCATTTCAGCTACCCTGCAACATCCACAGATTTTCAGTTAAGTGCTCATATTTAGCGGCTTTCCCCCCAAGTAATACCTTTATTGTCAGCGTACAACCTGGGTACAATGAAATTAACCGAGTACAATATTCTTTGCATATTTTTGGTTTTCTGAGCAGAGCAAGTTATCTACATTTATTTATTTGGGATCCCCCCCCCCTTTCTACAGCCTGAGCAGCACACTTGGCACTGAAAACAAAATCTAAAAACAGGTCCGTGGCCAAAAATGGCTCCTATTTTATGTAAGACAGGGGCAGACAAAAGGAGATGAACACTGAGAGGGAGAATTAAAGGCATTTTTATAACACGTATCAGAAAGTATTGCCAAAACGAAAGGAATATAAATGCGTCAGATTTATTTCAGCAGCAGTGCCACGTTCAAATCTCAGAATGGTCTAACAGACATAGATTATTTGCTTCGCTGCTATGCTCCTTTTCTTCTGTATCAAAATGAGGACAGCACTTTAAGTGTGTGTTTAAAAGATGAGCAACAGGTGCACCTCCGCTACTGAATATGGCTTTAGCAGACTTTAAACCTGAAATATCAAACACACTTAAATGTCAGATTTGCAGGACCACTGAACAAAACAGACTGATAGATTGTATCTTGGAGACATGGAAGGAATTTTCTTTCTTTCTTATAAATCATTAAGCCTGAAACAAAGCCCAACAGTCAAGACTGCATTAACCGCTACGTTAAATAAAATTAATAAGGTTTAAAATTAAGTAGAGTTTTAGCAGAGGGTCTCTCTAGGGACTTTTCATCTGACCACATCCCATTTTTTCTCTTTGTGCAGGACTCTCCACTTGAGCAACTCCAACTCATTAGAGCCACAGGGAGAAAAGCCAGTGGTAATGACCTGGGAGAGCTGAGTTCAAATTCCTGCTCTGCCATGAAACTCACTGGCAACCCAGTCAGATGGGTGGGGTAATAATGATGATGATGATGATGATGTTACTGGGTGACCCTGGGCCGGTCAGTGTCTCAATCTTACCTCCTTCACAGGGCAGTTGTGAGCATAAAATGGAGAAGAGAACCATGTATGTCACCTTCAAAGCTTTGGAGGAAAGGTGTTATATAAATGCACTACATTGGAGGCATGTGATGTTAGGATTTGTCCCTCAGTTCACCTATTCCCATCATCTCCTCCTTGCAGCCTTAAAGGTAAAGGGACTCCTGGCCATTAGGTCCAGTCACGGGCGACTTTGGGGTTGCAGCGCTCATCTTGCTTTATTGGCTGAGGGAGCCGGCATACAGCATGACTAAGCCGCTTCTGGCGAACCAGAGCAGCACACAGAAACACCGTTTACCTTCCCGCCAGAGTGGTACCTATTTATCTACTTGCACTCTGACGTGCTTTCGAACTACTAGGTTGGCAGGAGCAGGGACCAAGCTACGGGAGCTCACCCCGTTGCAGGGATTCAAACCGCCAACCTTCTGATCGGCAAGCCCTAGGCTCTGTGGTTTAACCCACAGCGCCACCCGCGGCCCTCCCCCTGCAGCCTTATATCCTACAAATAAAGGACCAACTGCGCTAGCCTTCACCAAATCATTTGTATTTGCTCTACTCTATTTGTTCAAGTACTGTACACTATATTTTAAATTACAGCCGAACCAAAACAAAGGATGGGAGTTAAATATGTAGGCTGAAATAATCACATCACAGCAATCAAAGTCCTAAACATGATGCAGTATTATGCAGAGATATGCATAACTTGAATTTTCCAAGTTTGCTTATTAAGACAGAAAAGTCTCTAGAATTCTAACTAACTAATTTAAATTCCCTGATTGGCAGCTAACAAGTCTGTCAGTGGATTGACAAGCAGGGTGTGTTTTCTCACCACAAGAATGGAAAGCATAGAACATGGGTAGGCAAACTAAGGCCTGGGTGGCCGGATTCTGCCCAGTCACCTTCTAAATCTGGCCTGCGGACAGTCCGGGAATCAGAGTGTTTTTACATGAGTAGAATGTGTCCTTTTATTTTAAATGCATCTCTGGGTTATTTGTGGGGCATAGGAATTTCTTTTCTTTTCTTTTCAAAATATAGTCCGGCTCCCCATAAGGTCTGAGGGACAGTGGACCGGCCCCTGGCTGAAAAAGTTTGCTGACCCCTGGCATAGTACATCAGAATACTGCAGATGATAACAACTTGGGACCAGTTTACCTGAGAGATCGCCTTACCCCTGTATGCCACGTGACCGCTTTAATCTGCGGAACTGGCACAGTGACAGGTGCCAAATAATACCTGCATTTATAAGAAATCGGCACTTTGGAACTCCCTGGTCACTGACATCAGGCCGGCACCGTTGCTCAGCGGCGTAGCGTGGGTTGTCAGCACCCGGGGCAAGGCAAGTAATTTGCACCCCCTAACCCCTAACCTGCCGCCGCTGCCAGCTTCTTCTTGCTGCTGCCTGGGCTGGTCTGGTGTGGTTCTCTCCCGCGCTCAGCGCTGCGCTGGGCGGCCGCTGCACTGTCCCTCCCCCAGATAGTCCCTCGCTCTCTCTCCGCACCGCACGCCTGGCACCCACCCCCTCCACAGTGGGCGGCAACCCAGCGGCTCGGATCGGATTCGCACAGCCAGCACTGCAGTGAGAGAGAGTGAGTGAGCCAGGTAGGGGCAGAGAGCTGCGAGTGCGAGCGAGGCCCCCCCCAGATGTTGCGCCCGGTGCGGCCGGCCCCCCCTGCACCCCCCACGCTACGCCACTGCCGTTGCTATAATCTTTTCAGCACCTGCTAAAAACATTCCTGTTAGGAGAACCCTGCCCAGGCATGCAGAATGTTGATGTGAATTTCAATCTCCTTTTAGTTTATTGCTGATTTTATTTTTTTAATTGTTTTAAATACAGTGGTACCTTGAGTTACAGACGCTTCAGGTTACAGACGCTTCAGGTTACAGACTCCGCCAACCCAGAAATTGTACCTCGGGTTAAGAACTTTGCTTCAGGATGAGAACAGAAATCGTGCAGCGGGAGGCCCCATTATCTAAAGTGGTGCTTCAGGTTAAGAACAGTTTCAGGTTAAGAACGGACCTCCAGAACGAATTAAGTTCTTAACCCGAGGTGCCACTGTAGTTGTTTTAAACTGTTTTACTGATAAATTTATTGTTTCGTTCTCTTTGTGAACCATTTTGAGGTTTTGTTGTTTTACCATCAGTGTATTAATTTTATGAAGTAAACAAGTAAAATAAACAATGCGTAGTTTCAGGCCTTGCCCTTCAGCAGGAGCACTTAAATTTGCAGCACGTGCATTTGGTTTTCAAATACTGGTCCATGGCAGCATTTAAATTAACAGCTAACCTGCCCAGATGAAGACAATATTATCTGTGAAGCTATTGTGCTTTCAGAAAGGTGGAAACTGAATGCAATCCTGCACAGTAATCAGATGC